ACCATTGCTACTGAAGGAATAATCAAAGCCAGACAGATATTGTGACATATTCTCTCATGTAGGTCAATCTCCCCAAAAATCGAATCCTAGCCAGGGAGACAGTGTCCACAAAAAGACACTCCCTGCTTAGTAAATGTCCAAATCCTATGAAAAAGCCACAAATTTCTGTTAAAAAATGTGTAATTTCTAAGTCCGAGCTAAGAGAACCAGGCTGACATGTCTAATTCAATCATTCATGCATATTTCATCAGTCAGGAGCAAGGCATGTGTTGCCAGTTGCAGTCTAATAAATCATAACATGCCAAGTATGTTGGTTGAGCACATAAGCAACTTGTGGATTTAGTAGCTTGGTTTACAACCAATCTCGTGCCTCCTTCCCTCTCAGATCTCCAGGAAGGCGGAGCTGCGTTCCAGATTGGCTGAGCTTCAGCTGCAGCTTTCTGGCCCGCAGCAAACTCTGGGGATTGTGGGAGACGGGAAAAAGGAGAAGATGAAAAGACAAGTGTAAGGAAGTGAGGGAGAGGTACCGGTGGGGGGGGGGGGGGGGGGGGGGGGGGGGGTGCGTGGGGTGTGTGTGTGTGTGTGTGTGTGTGGGGTGGGAGCATAATTCTTCAAAAGCAACAACATTCACTTTGAAGCTTTTGATCTTTTTGTATGTCTATCCCAACACACTGGAGGTCAAATACTGTCACGCTTTAAGAAATTGGCAACTGTCTACAGTTCATAATGTGGCGTGTAAACATCACTCGGGGATGACGTCCTCTGTGTTAAAGATACTCGAGGCCTTTGTGCAGATTACTGAAACCAGCATGTGGATGTTTATTCTCTCACATAGAGACTCAGAGGTCATTAAGAAGTACTGCTATTGTCTGTGTGGGTCTTGGAGATCCTCCACAGGTTTGCTCCCTGTCACAGAGGACGCTGTGTGCACTTTTTTGCATCCTGATTCTTCATTCAGCATTTTCCTCTCCACACTGGCTCAGGGAGGATGCTCCTGGGACCCTTCAATCACAAACCCCTCCAGCCTCCAAGATGCTTAAGGGAGAGGAGCAGTTTAAAGCTCAGACAACGCCATCACCCGCTGCCAGGCAAGGAGCGGAGACGGGCAGAGAACGGGAAAAGACGGAGCCGGCCGAGGTGTCGGGAGGCTGTTCGGACTTTGACGAGGAGCAGCAACGGCGGCAGGAAGGTGGAATAATTAAGTAACACAGCTGAAGAGATTGTTATTAGGGGTGATCTCAGACAGCTGAAAGTACCATGAGATTAACATCTAAAATCAGATTACACATGTTTGCCCTGAGGAGTCCTAACAATCCCACGTGGCTGCCAGTATAAAAAAAACAAACTAAAAGGCGGCTTTGACTTCCCTGAAGACAGAAGAACATTTGCATCCTTGGAGCTAAATGAGCTCCACATGTTGCAGGGGCAGACTAATACATATTGAAGATCTGTGTACATTAACAAACTGGGGTGCTGATGAGTCAACATTGCTAATTGCATAAATAATATCTTTGCACAGAAGCTGAATTCACATCCCTCAAAGCATCATGGGAGAAGGCAAGGTTCCGCTTGAGGCTACTGGAGGGTCACAACGATATAGTCACCTGTGTGGCTGCCGTTGACAACCTGGTGGTTTCTGGAAGGTAAAGTGGCTTCATTTGCATAATGGATGTGCAAAGTGAACATTTCAACCTAATTTATCACTTAATACACTGCCGCTCCTTTTCCCTCGCTGTCTGACATGTATTTGTTTTTCTTCCCCCGCCTCGAACGCTCGGGCTCAATCCTCCTGCGGTTTATGTCAAACGCCTTTTAACTTTGCTTGTTTTTTACTGCCTCCTCTCACCTACTCTTTTACTCCTCTTCTATCCTCTCTCTCTTTCTCTCTCTCTCTCTCGTTCTGTCCATCTGTCTGCTCCCCGCAGCCGAGACACCACGGTGAAGGTGTGGCACGTTCCCACGGCAACCGAACACAAGAACCTGGGGGGCCACACTGGGGGGGTTACCTGTCTGTCTGCACCTCCCCCTGAATACTGCAAGAGGCTGGGTGAGGACACACACACACACACACACACACACACTTTGTTACATGTGCGCTGATGAGAGCTGAGTAATGCCTGTGTCCTGCGGTCTGGTAATTATAGGAGCAGTTCATCAGATCAGGCTCAGTGAGTGATAACCTCACTAGACACTTTGGAAAAGTTCACTGTCTGTCTGAAGCAGGCAGCCCTCCATCACCTGAACTCCAGCGGCCTCCCTGGTTCTGGTTCTCCTCCTACACCCGCTACCCCAACTTAAAACACCAAGTCTATAAATGATGCAGCTCAGTGGAACTATGTAAACGCGGCACCCATTGACTAATTATTTGCTCCTTTTTTATATCGTGTCTCTTTTCTCTCTGTGCCTTTCTTGCAAACGGTGTCTTTTTTCATTTTGTGCATCATCATTTATTTACAGCTTCCTTCCTCAGCTTAATCTTTTTGTCCTCCTCCGTCTCCCTCTCTCTGATCCCTGTTCTTTCCTCCCTCTCCTCCTCTGTCCCCTCCCGCTCTTTTGTCTCTGTTTGCCCTCTCATCAGCCCGGTCCCTGGCTTTGTCCGACAAGGAGAGGTTTATTTTGAGTGGCTCGGCAGACTGCTACGTGAAGATCTGGGCCCTGAATGTTGGTACGCTCACCCACAGAAACAAACACACAGATATTTTACTGTATATGAAGGTAGAGGGTGCCTTTGGGCTCAGTCTGGAAAACCTGTTTGTGTGTGTGTGTGTGTGTGTGTGTGTGTGTGTGTGTGTGTGTGTGTGTGTGTGTGTGTGTGTGTGT